CGGGCCCGGGGCTCGGCGCGGGGCGTCTGTCTCTCGCACCCGCTCCCGGATGATTTCAAAAGCGGTCTGATCCCGGGCCCTTTTTTTCCATGTGGGCTCCGTATTTAGTAGACCCATCTTTTATGCGGCTCTGGTGAGAATGCAGATGATGAAACTCCTTAAACGTTGCACAGGCCGATGCATAAGTTTGCCCCTGGAAGAGACAGGAAGGAGGACTGCACTGTAGCTGTCTCTCGCTGACTGCCACATACAAAGCTGGACTGGTTATATTTATCAGCTGTCTCCTTTCAGGCTAGATATATGGCTTTGACACATCTTTTTTTATAGTACCCTATTTTAAGCACTTAGCAAGACCATTTAGACCCTTCATTGTCACGGGGCTGATTGCAGGATGACACTTAAAGACATCCAGAAATTACAGATGATGTATGGCTTTTGAAATGACAGCTGAAGAGGCTGCTTGTCTGGGGACTATACGTAATTCAAGTACTTGGTGTTTTAACAAGAAAATATTAAATACGGTACCGCACGTCCTCAAGATTCCTAATCTAAAATTCATCGTAAGAATCATTCCTACAAAGATAAAAAGATGAAAGATAAAATCAGCTTCAATTAACTTCCAAAGATGAAGTTGTATTTTTAGCAGCCCTTTTACTGGAAAAGGTGCACGTATCATGGTATAGAAACTTCAATTAAACTTCAGAATTCTTGGGTAGAGTAAGTTGTACTTGCTTGGTGAGCAAGTCGTGCTGCTGGAATATTGACCTTAAACTGTTTAAATTTGACATTTTAGCGTTGCTTTCCTGATATTGAAGAATAGTTTTAAATTCAAATCTCTTGCACTGCTGCTGGCAAACTGAAGGAGTAGAGTTGAACCGAAGGACTGGAGCGTTCTCTAGACAAACGCTGGCAATCCTGAGTCTTGGTAGACTGAATGGAGAACATGACAGGCAGTGTTAAGTCTTGCGAACTGCAGGGGCTCAATTTTGCCATGGCCAAGTATAATAGAGGGTGAGAAGTTGTGCCTAAGGCAGATTATGTGTTGCAGGAGGCAGTTTAGTGTTAAACTGACGTTTCAAATTGGAATATTCAGTGCTGTTTCCAGAGTTTTGGTGTTTGTGTTTTATATGTAAGGCTTAAGTGAGCATTTAGGAGCGCTTTATGCTTCAGGTTCTCAGTGAAATCTACATAGATAGAAGATGTTTGGAAATAAGAACAGCTTGAATGATTAAGTATGTACAGATACATAAGAAAGGCTGGTTTTCCTTACAAATGATAAATTTGTCAAAGCCAACCCTTAGTTATCGTTAATATCTGGCATTGCTTTGTAGTCAAGGATGTATTGCAACTTTTGAGTGTGTTTTATTGTTGCAGATACTGAGTTTGCTCTGTTAGAGGTACTGGATAGTGCCTGACATCTTTGTCACCTTCTGTAATAATGTCCATTTTCTCAAATTGAAAACTTAGCTTGATTTGGGATTTTGGGTTAGCAGCAGAGGAGTTGTCAATGTGTATCAGTTCTTGTACACTTGGAGCTTCAGTTGCTGTTTTGGTTAGCATTTTAAGTGGTATAACAGAAAAAAATGTAATTCTGAGAGCTATTCAGGAGCTAAGGTTTTACATTTTGTCTGTTACAAATCTTTGTTTCAATAACTTACAGTTTCTACTGCAAGGTATGATGAGCTGTGCTGTATTTCAGGTTCGTTTTGTGTCTGCTTTTACTACAGTGCCTGTTAAATTAGCCTTAATTATTTGACTTACTTGTAAGAACTTGCTTGACCAGCATTAATTAAAAGTTTCAGAACAATATGAATTAATTTTGTCCTTTGTCCAGTTGGTTATCGACCACTGAGAGTTGTGGTTGGAGTGGCCTGGCGTTATTGCAAGATTAAACTTGCCTTTCAAATTTATTTTCATAAACAAAAAATTGTAAGGCTGAGCAGTAATTGTCTCAAAAGCAGCACTGGGATAGAATAACAGTGTAAATTATGGGATGGAGGATAGCTTTGTTAAAATTCCCTTGGTAAAAAAATACTGCTGAATAGTGTCACACTGCAACCTTAATTCTCTTTAGATGTAACACTATGCTTTTTCTAGAAAAGAACTTGCTCAACTTACACAAGCTCACTGTTTACATAAACTAAGCCCCGAATACTTGCTATTGTGGTCCTTAAATTAAAACCGGACTGCTGCTTTTAAAATACTTCTTTTGGCCACATTTAACTTTGATTCTGAGATTCTAAAACTTAGCAGCTCCCTCTGATACCTGAGCACCTTGAGCAGGCCCCTGCTTTAATCCTTTCTGCCATGATTTCTTGAGGAATGTAGTGGTTTCCAAAGTACTTCAGGGGGAGTATTGACTCTACCCCTCAGCCCTTGAGAATACACACATGTCCTTTTAGCTGTACTCGACTTATCTTTATCTTTTAAACTTGTTTGCTTCCCATTCTCAGTGTTCTTTCATCTTGTTTTTCTGCAGCTAAGATGTGTAGGGCCTGTGTGTATGCTGGTAGCTGGCTGTGCTGCTTCGGTGTTTGCTGGTGGATGGTTTGCTGCGTTTTGTACTGAGCAGAACGTGTAGTATAGCATAGATGGGAGTTGCTGTGATGCTGAGAGATCCTGTTAGTAACAGCAGCTGCTTAGGGAATGAAAAAATGGGGCACTGTTTTCAGCCAAGGCTGGTTTAAAAAACGTCTCACCCTTCAGTTGGGGACTGTAGCAGCTTTTAGTGTCACTCTTCTATAAACTGAATCTCTAGACCACTCTTGAGTTAAAAAAAAAAAGAATTGCAAACAACTTCTCTGAGTGAAGTTTGTTTCTTTCTTAGTTTGAGGGCAGGACTTGGGTTTTTTTAAGTCAGATTCGCTGGGTGGTTTGGATCTTGTTGAATGACATTGGTAGGTGCTGTACTACAAGCCTCGTGGTGTGTCTTCATTGTCCTTCTTGATGAAACTAGCTTTAAAACTGGATGTGTGTATTTTATTAATATGTATGAAGTGCCCAGTCATGCCTTGATGGGTGGAGAGACATCACTGCTGTCCTGAAATTTTCATGTTAATGGAGAGGCCTGCGTTCGTTTGCCAGTTACGTCACTGAAAGACTGCCACTGCAGTTGAGTCTGCCAACGTTTTTTGTATGGCTGGCTAAGTCAAGCCATCAGTGAACTTTGGTTAGAGTTAATTACTTGCTAAGAGTTTACAGCGTTAAGTAAATTAACATGCATCTTCTGGTTTGTGAGTCTTTTGCTAATGGGATCTTACTTTCAGAATTCCTTGAGGTCGGCAAAAAGCAGCCTGCCCTCGATGTTCTCTATGATGTTATGAAAAGTAAAAAACACCGAACATGGCAGAAAATCCACGAGCCAATTATGCTGAAGTACCTGGAACTCTGCGTGGATCTCCGCAAGAGTCATCTGGCAAAAGAAGGACTGTACCAGTACAAGAACATTTGCCAGCAGGTATGGCTTTGGGATTTTTTATTTTACTTGTAGCAAGCATGGTATATGTCAGCTGATGTGATCTAAAAGTAACTGATTGTCTTGAGTTAGAAATAATTTGCCTTTTAGATGTTCCTGGGTTTGTAGCACTTAGGTTTTAAATATTTGCTGCCTGTTGTGGGTGGAAACATCTTCCCATTTTCTGCCTTTGATGTAGGTGAACATCAAATCTTTGGAGGATGTTGTTCGAGCCTATTTAAAATTAGCTGAAGAAAAAACCGAAGCAGCTAAGGAAGAATCCCAGCAGATGGTACTGGACATAGAAGACTTAGATAACATTCAAACTCCAGAAAGGTAGGCGGCCTGTCTTTAAAATGTCGCAATTCACGGCAAAGTGTCCTTGTTTTCATGAAGGGTGTTGGCAATTTAGGGAGCTGAGATACAAAGATGGTGGATTTGAAAGGGAATACTAGTGGTGTTCTAGAGGTTCTAAAGGTAGGAAAAAAAGAGGACTTTTGCACTGAACAAGATCCTAAGTCTGAGTAAAGAAAAGCAAAGAGAGTAAGTAGTAAAGAATAGAAAACATAGGTACAGTAGGAGCAGTTCTGGGAGTTGGGCTATCACTTTCTAGGGTCTGCTCAAATCTTCATCTGTAGTGGTATTGGAGAGTTTCTTGTGGAAAGCTGCTCGTTATCAGTTGGTGTACAAATGCTATTAATTATACTAGACCAATTTAATTCCTGTATATAATAACCTCCAGTCTTTCTGACCACATTGTGCATGTACCTACAAAAGGAAATGTTACTTTATACCTGTGTGGGTAACTGATGAGATAATAGAAAAAAGGGCATAAAAATTCACTTCCTGTGTTGTAATTAATTGGATGGATAATGAGGACGTAGAAGGAATGGAAAAAAGGGTCAGTAAATATATCTGCTTTAGGCTGTGTATAGACCTTCACTGGCAATTAGTGCCAGGTTAGGGCGAGACCAGTCTCCAGCTCTGTGGGAAGTCACTGTTCTGTTGTCAGAATGTTTTGTAGGAGAACTTCCTAACCTGCCTCAGGCAAAGTGGGGTTGGCTCTGATGCATGTTTATGTTCTAGGGAATGCTGACATTAACTCTGGTAGTACAGCTACCTGTGTGGTGACATCTATGGAAGAGGGGTGACAAGGTGGGGTGAACAAATGTTTTGAAGCATTTCAGCTGAGTTTGGGAGAGGCCAGCTGCCCGTATCCTTTAAAAAAACGGAAAAGTGTAGGGAATAAATTAAAATTTCCGTAAGCCAAACGAAATTAAAACTTGCAGAAGATACCAAAAGAAATAACAAAAAGATCTTCAGCCATAAGTGGAGATTTCTAGGAAAAATGGTGGTAAAAGTCAGAGGAGGTGGGTTGAGATTAGCCATCCTAGGCGTGGGCTGAAGATTAAAGCAATACTTTGCTGCTAAAGCTCTGCAGATACCCATCTGAGCAGACAGTCTGTTTGCTCATCATCCGTAGGACTGAGTAGTGGTCTGAATGGTTGCTGATGTGTTATCTTGATCGTAATAACATTCATTAGTATGAGTTTTGAAGGAAGGAAGTAGTACATGGAATTAAAAATAAGGTAAAATTCAGCACAGGCTTGCCGAAGTGTAGATGACATCTGATTATGTTAGAATGTTATTTGTTAATTTATTTTTTTAGATTCAAGAAGTGCCAGAGATCTAACCTGGGGAAAAGTAAAGCTGTTGGTACTGTACCAGAAGGAATGTTTGCAGTTGAATTGCAAGGGGACTAAGACATTGCCTAGTAAGAAACTGATGACGTGTAATGACAGAAGGGGAGAGGAGGCAAGAGTGAAGTTAGTGGGAATTCTTTCAATTAAAATCTTGGCACAGAAACTAAAAAAAAGTCAAGGTCGTATCTACTGATGATAGAAAATGGGAAGAAATTACTAAAGTAGAGGACATTTTGTCTTGTGTAGGTGACTATGAGGAACAGAGTTGTAGTAGTCAAACTCAAAGGCATGCAGTAGTAGTCAAATAAAACTCAGAGGCTGTGGGTTTACACATGAACAGCAAGGCTCTCTTGTAGAAGCTGGGAACTCATTGGTTACAAAAAATGGAAAGGTTACAGACCTGTCTTCAGTAGTTGTTCATGGATGGCAATGCTGTTCACATTATTTCCAGTGCCTGGAGTAGTCTTTGTTACAGAGGAATCCCACTAATTGTTCGACACTGAAGATCGCTCTTCCTTGTTCTTTTTTACATAATTGAGGACTAGAAAATGTGTCTCTTGAGTCACACTTTTTTATCTGAACAACCACAGTTTCTTTACTGTTTTTTAGGTCCTGTTTTCTAGACTACTCATGCTTTTTTGCTGAATTCACTGCTTGATCTGTTGGAGAAGGCACTGGTGAAATGTCATCTTTAACATTGTATGTGGTACTAGCAGTCAAGGAAGTAGATTAGAACTGGAAGCAGTGTAGTAGAAGAGAGTTACAAGAGTTGAGAGTTTATAATAAAAGCGTAGTTCAAAAAGGATTTAAAAAGTGAAGGCTTAAAGGAGGTGATTCTTTGTAAGTGTGTCAGGCTGGGTGGACTGTTTAGCAGAAAGGGATCATGTGGGCCATAGCACTGAATTTGTCTTAGTGTCTCAGGAATCCTTTCCAATCTTGTATTTCTGTCAATGAGGGAATGCAGTTATGGCCACTAAATGCAAGATTATCTTATCTTACTTCTGACATCTTTAAGCGTCTTTATCGTGTCAGAATTTTTAAAGGATTTGATACTTTAATGTAAGTATTCTGTTTTTCGATGTCTGCAGAGCGTAAGGCACACAGTGCTTCTGTGTCATGTCAACAAAAGTGAGCTCTCTCTGGCAGCATTGCTGCTGACTGAAAAGGAAGTTTCAGCAAGCAGGAAAGTATCTGAGTAGACACTGATCTAACAGAGGTACAGTGCGCAGCTCCCTGGTAGAAGAGGGAAGGTGAAAATCCTGGAATTTGTTTCCTTTGGCTTGCTCATGTGAAGGATACCATAGCTCCTTACCTCTGGAGCTTGTACGTGTTGGTCACATATGCAGGGGCCTCAGTTTGAAACTTAACAGCAAGAAAAATTATCTGCGTCCTTCAAAGGAAAAGGGAGAAATCTGAGGGGCCAGTTTGAAAATAAGCAACAGACCGTTCAGCAGCAATTAGCTGTTCAGGTTTGTCCAGTCTCAAATCTTGATAAGAAAAACTGGTGAGAATTGTGGGGGATAAAATGCTTCTTTCTTTTTTATTTCCCCTCCTTGCCCCACTACCCTGACTGTAGTGTTCTTTTGAGTGCTGTAAGTGGAGAAGACACTCAGGATCGTACTGACCGACTGCTTTTGACACCCTGGGTTAAATTCCTGTGGGAATCGTACAGACAGTGTTTGGATCTTCTCCGAAATAATTCTCGAGTGGAACGCCTGTATCATGATATTGCACAGCAAGGTAAGTTGAAATGCTAAAACTTAAAATATAATGAGATCTAAGAGTTCTGTATTACTTACATCCTGTAAAACTACAAAATTAAAGGTTATTTCTATTTGAATATTGCTTTGGAGTTGGAAATATGTTAGTCTTTTAAGTACGTACACACATACTATTCTTAAAATTACAGAGGTGCCTTAAAATTACTGACGTTTCTGGACACCAGTCTTTTCTTGTGACAGAATCTGCAAGGAAAGAGTTATGTTTTCCTGGATATACTGTGAAGATGAGAATTACTGGTGCTGTGTCTTTATTTTTTTCTAACTTACTGATCAAAATGAGTCGTGTTTTCCCTTTGTTATCCAGAATGGCAAATGTATCTTTCATTAGCCTGTTCTATGTCAGCTGATTTCATAAACTAGTATACACAAAAGGGTGCTGTGAAATTCCAGTGCGCTATCAATTTTGACACAGACACAACTTACCGAAATATTATGCAGAAGGTAATGGGAAGATGTCTAGTCTGATGCTTTCTGGCATTACTCTGCAAAAATTGACTTTCTAAGAATGAATACTTACATGTTGATCTTTTCTTAAGGGTGAGAGATGAGTGGAAAAATGTTTTCCTTTGTACATATGACTTAGGGCTCTGTATTTTTGAAAAAGGTGTCTGTTAGATTTTTAACTCTGGATCCAAATTGTGCAAGTACATTAGGAAGGGTGACTGTCAGATGAGTTCTGGGTGCTTTAGTAAGTCTTCATGCTACAGTGTTGAGACTTCCTTTTTTGCCAGTTTCTGGTAGAGATACTTTAGAATTTTCAGAGTGGCAGTGGCATAGCAAAAGCAGATTTTTGAGAGGAACTATGGAATCAAATACAACTTTTTTTTTCTGTGTCGTTTCCAGTCATTTGAAAGCTTTATTTGACTTTTCCATATTTAGATGACTTGAGAATTTTTTCCACATTTTACAAAGCCAAAACCTGAATTCATCTGATTCACAGAATTTTATTTAGTTCAAAATAAAAGTGAGAATCACTGCTTAAATGAGAACATTTTTAAAGAGTTTCAAAGTATTCCCTTTGGTCTTTAAGCTTAATTATGTAGAAACATCCTCATTTTTTGAGGTCAAGGTGGAAGTGTTCCGTACTGTCATTCATTTGTTATGCGTGACAGATTGCATCTTGTTTGATGTGTCTTTGGACTGTAAATGAAGATTCTCTAAACGTACTGACTGACGTATTTGAATCCCACCTGAACTGCCCTGAAGTCACCATCAGTGAGCATTCTTAATTTGTATGGTTCCTTTTTGCAGCTTTCAAGTTCTGCCTGCAGTACACGCGTAAAGCCGAGTTCCGTAAGCTCTGCGATAACCTGCGGATGCACTTGGGGCAGATCCAGCGCCACCATAACCAAAGCACAGCCATCAACCTCAACAATCCTGACAGTCAGTCCATGCACTTGGAGACCAGGCTGGTGCAGCTCGACAGTGCTATTAGCATGGAGCTGTGGCAGGTACGCAGCAGGGCTCCTGTAATCCCACTCTGGTCTGCAGCCTTTCCAGGATCTGTTCCACGCAGATCGTGTTTCATGGTATATACTGCGAGGTAAAGACGGGATAATAGCTGAAGAATGAAGTTTCAGTATCTAGAGTGGGGTGTGACGTGCATATTGAGCACTGATGTTCCTGCACAGCGTTTCAAACCAAGCTTCTGCTCATAGTAATAAGGGGTAAAGTAGCTGAAGTCACTTTGAGTTGTGACAGTGAGAAGCTGATGATGACACCTTCACCTCTGCCACCTTGCATTCTCACGAACTAGACCACTGGGAAGTGGTAGGTAAATGTTAAAGCCTGCTGTTAGGCTGGGGCCCCACACTGCTGGTTGAATTATGTTAGTGAGGGCACGATCAAAGCAAATTTTTCCAAGAGGTGCTTTTCCAGCCTTTCTAATGTCAAATGCCGTAAAAAGCCAAGGTTGTCATTTTTGCTTTTGTGAATTTGGAGAAGGTTCTCTGTTGTGTTGTTTCCTTTTTAGGTACGTAAATAATTACAGGTCAGGCATTTCCAAGGTTATATGTATTTTTAGGGAAACTATACCCATTTTTGATCACAAAAAATATTTTTATGAAAAATGGTAAAACCAGTAAATAGTAGAATTGGTATAATAATAAAATTGTAGAATTTGCGTTTGTTTTTCTTTTCCCCTTCCTTTGTAGCTTGAAAATCTGAAAGAAACCAGTTTTCAAAAAAATTACACAAACTATTAACTACCAAATTCTAAGCAGGTAGTTGATGGGTTTGCAGTATGTCCAAGTAATTTCATTTCATGTAACTGGCAAAATGGAAGATCACAGCTCTCAGTGCTATTAAATATATTATAGTCTTGCAACCTTTAGTGAATGCATAGTTTTCCCTTTTTTTGGGGGATGCAGAAAACTTGCTGAAAGTAGTGTATTTGGTATTTTTTTAGGAAGCTTTCAAAGCAGTGGAGGATATTCATGGGCTATTTGCACTGTCTAAGAAACCACCCAAACCACAACTGATGGCAAATTACTATCACAAAGTTTCAACTGTCTTCTGGAAATCAGGAAATGCTCTGTTTCATGCATCCACACTTCACCGACTCTATCACTTATCAAGAGAAATGCGGAAGAATCTCACGCAGGAGGAGATGCAGAGGTGGGGAAAGATACTTAATGTGCTCTTAGGTTCTGTTTTTAACCCTGTAGGATCAAAAATAAACTGAATTGTACCCTAAAAGAAGCAGATGATGTGTATGGCTGTGGGCAGTTTGACTTAAAGTGGCCGGTACTAGTTGCCTCAAAAGAAACCGAGAGCAAGAAGGGTATTTTACAAAGCTACAGTGTAAATAATGTAAACATCAGGGTCACCTTAGTTAAGCTTCCTTCTCAGTTACTGACTGGGAAGCTAAGCAAGTTAATAAGCATCTGTGCGTTGCTTCCTTTTTCTCTTCTGAGTGGTGGTATTTGCTTCACAAGATTTCATGATGACTATTATAAACTTTTCCTTAGTCTATGAACAGCTGTATAGCCAAATGGCCTTTAAAATGCTCTGATTTTTTTTTTGGTAATAAGTGTGATACTGGCAAGGCTTTTGAGGCATGCAGCATCACTGACTCATTAACCTCTGAAGTCCATGTACAGGCATTTGTAGAATCAGAATCTGGTGGGAATAAGTACTCTATGGAAATTTGAATATTCCTATTCGTGTGGCTATTAAGGTCAAAATGTAAATATTTAATGTCATTTGTATTGTTACATCAAAAAGGACATCTGGCTTGCACGGTAAATTTTAAAAATCAGTGCAATCAAAATGTTTGGTATGGATTTGCAGCTAAAATAAGTTTGAAAAGGTGCTGCTTTCTGCTGTTTTCATGATTTTGTAGGATTTTGATACTTGCAGAGGCGGCTTAAATTTCGTAGCCTTTCTGTGCATGTCTATGTCCATATACACACATATGTAAGTGATGAAAAGATGTATCAAAGTCTTTCCCCTGGTTGCTGAAGGACAGTGCATTGTGTGCTCTTACTGCACCGTTGGAGTCTTTTCTGTTATTGCTAGCATTGTTACGCAGTTTTGCGTCATGAGTGCCACTCGTTCCTACTCTTGAATTGGCACGTCTGTGCCAAGGAATTAATTAGTTTGCTCTTGCAGTTCATCTTTTGTGGTTATACTTTGCCAACAGAATGTCTACTCGGGTCCTTTTGGCCACTCTGTCGATTCCCATAACTCCCGAGAGAACCGATATTGCTCGCCTGCTGGATATGGATGGCATCATTGTTGAGAAACAGCGACGGCTGGCAACCCTGTTGGGTCTTCAGGCCCCACCTACCCGTGGCAGTCTCATTAATGATATGGTAGGTAGTGGTCTTCAGATGAGCAGCTTTTAAACACGGAGTCTTCTTCTTGGACTGTTTTTCTTCTAGAGCACCGTGCTTAATTTTGGGACAGCAGGTTAAAAGTCAAGACAGCTTTATGGTTAATTGTATGACCTATGCTATAGTGTTAAAATTTCAGATTCACAAGAAGGACTGTTTGGAAATGGCAGCAATAACAGGAGGCCTGAATGCTTGTGTGTGCTCAAGAGTCAGATTCAATATTGTCCTTTATGTCACTCAAGCAGCAAATATTGTTTTGAAACTCTTGAGGGGTCTGGAAAGGGTTGTGAGCTAGAACTGTTTTTTTCCTCTGCTCTTAGGGTGTGTAATTAACTAAAGCATGTGATTATTTTGCTGTTTTAAATGTATTTTGGATAAGCACAGGTCAGATATCAAATGGCAGACTGTAAGGACCTGAGCGATTATGAAAACTTCCTTGTGTTTAATTTGGAGGGAGGCTGGACTTACCTATTGTCAGACTTTCCCAGATGCTCATAAACAAGTCGGGCATTCAGTCATGGCTAGGTATTTTCAGAGGATGTTTGAATTTCTTGCAGTCATTTGCATGTATGCTTAAAACTTACATTCAAGGTTTATTTTACAGTTTGCATTAATTCTTCTTCTGGTACCTCTCCAGTTTGCCTTAAAACCACAACTTAAAACTTCAGAAGTTTACTCATGAACTGAGATATGCAGGTTTAGCTTGGATGTGGGCTTCCATCTGTGTAGTAGGACTTGAGGGCGGTATCTGAGTCTAAATATTTATCTTTTTTGTATGTTTTTTTGCCTGCTCCTCCGTTTTTTAAATACAAACAGTTAAGTGGCGCAGCATGGAGTTATTGTCACTGCAATTAAGAATGCTGTAATAAAAAATAAGTAGTCCCCTGTATTAAAAGGTACATATGGTGCCTAGTTTTCTTGAACATAAAATTCTTAAAGCATAACTATTTGTTAATATTGTATTTATTTTGAGATCTTTGTTTGGTTTTTTGCTTGACTGTAGGTAAGGTTCAATGTAGTGCAGTATGTTGTTCCAGAAGTGAAAGAACTTTACAATTGGCTTGAAGTCGACTTTCACCCGCTCAAGTTGTGTAGCCGTGTCAGCAAGGTAAGTTTTGTAGCACTGTGTATCTAGTAATTGGTCTTGACTAATAGTCTGTTACTGAATATTGATTTGTAGTAAATGCCAACCAGCTTTTTCTGTTGCCGGAATTTTCAGTAGTTGGCTTTATTTGGTCAAATCCCATTACGTGACATCTGGTACACAGAGCACACCGGGTTATTGAAATAGAACAACAATTGATGCAGGTCTCCGGGAGCCATTCACAGAGGGTCTCTGTAAAGGTGCAGAGTTTTGGGAACGTGTCGGAAGGTCTGGTGGGTAGAGGTGGTACTGAGTTAAATTTTACATAAAAATGTAGGAATGAGAACACTGTGTGCACACACGTGCATAGACATGCAAGTGGGTTGTGTGGGAAGTGGAAAAGTATACCAATGACTGGGTTTACTGTTAAAATCTGGAGTATTGGGAGGTAAAATCGTGTGAGAGCCTGTTGATTAGGTTATCCCTAATTGATGAAGCACATCATGTTCTTTTTCTTTAATAGTGGGAACAAAGATATTTGAGGTGCTAAAAAGAACTTGAAGGTAAATTAGCAGTGTGGTAAATGTTGCCAGTACTGTCAGTCGCCTTCATACAAAAAACGGTAGCAGTCCATTATAGAAGTGTTCTGATCACAGGATACATGTCAGTAAATCAGTGTAGCATCTGGACGGAGGTGCTGTTGTTTCACGAGCTGTAAACTGGAAGTATTTAAGAACCATGCTGCATACTTTAGTGTTGAAGTTTTTAAGGGTTGGTGCAGATAGAGTAACTTTTCAGAATTTTTATAGGTTCTGAACTGGGTGAAAGACCAAGCTGAGAAGGAACCGGAACTGCAGCTGTATGTTCCTCACCTGCAAAACAATACCATTCTTCGCCTTCTGCAGCAGGTATGAGTAAAGAAAATGTGTGTTTCTAAGTATGTATAAGTTAGAAAAAGCTTCAGAAGAACATTAAGTTGGAAACTTCTGCGCTGAAATAAATTTTTTTTCCATGAAATAAAAGGCCGTTATGATCTTGAAATACTTTTTTCCTCGTGTATAATGTGTGTCTTCAGGTTTGTACATCATTTAGGTATAGCCATAGTAGCTATACTTAGTAGTGGCTGCATACAGTGGCATAAGCTCTTGCCTAGATTTTCTTCATTATGGATCTATGATGTCTTATTTAAGGTAATTCATAGTTTCTTAAAACTTTTTTTAGAGTAAGGTTTGGGTGGGATCTTTTTTTTTTTCTTTTGTGTGTGAGTTTGGGTATTTTATAACATGCACATTTCATTGACCTGCTTTCGTTGCAAGTGACGAGCAGTGTTATTTCTGATGTGCTAAAGAAATAGTTGAAGGCTAATTAGCAGCGTCGCTGTATGTAGTTACTGCTGCCAGTCTCCTTCGTACAAAGCAGCCATTCAGGAATGGCACTTAGGCTTGGGTTAATTTTGAATACGGTACAGAAATAAAATCCTGACAGTATTTGCAGTTGTATGAATGTGCATATATTAGTTTGTTGGCAATGTAGTAAGTTAGCTTGATAGCCCATATGACAACTTTTATTTCTGATCACTTTTTAATGAGGAAAAGTGATTTATGTTTCTGTTCACATCCAGGTGGCCCAGATTTATCAAAGCATTGAATTTTCTCGTCTGGCTACCCTGGTTCCTTTTGTTGATGCTTTCCAGCTGGAACGTAGTATTGTTGATGCAGCCAGACATTGTGACTTACAAGTAAGTGCTGTAAAAAGACTTCTGTGAAATGATGTAGGGGTTCATGTGTATCCCATTGGGTGAAAACTACCTGGTTGACATTGAACCTGAGGAAGACGATTGATTCTGATAGATGGAGATAAACTAGAGTAAAAGTTGCACGTGGCAGAATATTAAGAACTGACGATTATTTGCATTATGGTGTGTATTTTTGATTTAGGTCAAAACCCATTAATGTTGTAGAAGTTGAAATAAGGTTTGCTGAAACTTGCCCTGTGAGCCACAATCATTTAGTCCAGCATAGCCTGAAGCAAGTCTAACAAACAGGGATGCGAATTTCTGACTCTGCTGAATTAGTTGTGCAAGACTGAAGAGCTAGGAAGGAGTTGCTGATGTTGGGTTTTGTCTAACCAAGTGACTGAAGTAGAACACCAACATCTGAAATGGGCACCCGTGTCCGAGATGTTTCAGCTGCTGTGGAAGATTGCGTTGTGGCTGAAGTTGCCTGTATTGAAGGACAGCCTGCAGTGAAATGGTGATGAGATACAGGTAGTTTGTGGTTGAGGTTGCTTAGTAATTGTCCCTTTAGGTTTGTAGATACAGCTGAGTTAATTCATTTAGGTTAACACACAACTTTAGCTTTTATATTTTAGCTGCATTGAAATGGTCTGTGTTAAAGTCAGGGTTCTTGTTTCACATATTGCTAATGAGGAGGAGGCAAGAATGATTTGCCTTGCAGTGCTCATTTTATAGAATCACGGAAAGTTCAGCCTCTTCCAGTTTGGCTTTGGTTTTGGGGGTTTTTTTTGGTAGTGTAAACCATGGAAATCCAACACACTTTTATTCACAGTGCTGTTTTTCTTCCTAATTTGGCATTTCTCAGTCTGGTATAGCTAAAACTTTTTTTAAAAAAAAAAAAAAAAATTAGTAGTTTCTGCTTAGAGCTTCTGTTGACTCATATTGGTCGTAGGCAGAGCAACAGAGGAATTGTTTAATAAATAGTATAATCCTTCCTGGTTTGTTTTGGTTTTGTTTTGCAAAGGTTCGCCTTGATCATACTACCCGGACACTGAGTTTTGGGTCGGATTTGAATTACAGTACGAGAGAAGATGCTCCCCTAGGCCCTCAGCTGCAAAGCATGCCTTCTGAGCAAATTAGGAACCAATTGACTGCTATGTCCTCAGCTCTGGCGAAGGCTCTTGCAGTCATTAAGCCTCCCCACTTACTGGTAAGTCATTTTAAGTCTTCTGAAAAATGTTGACAAATTCTGGTGTTTCCCCCACGTGCGCTGTGTGATGTTCATCTGTTGCCTTTATGCAGCCTTTTGTTATTTTTTTGCCTTTTGTTATTTTTTTTTTTGCCTTTTGTTATTTTTTTTTTGCCTTTTGTTATTTTTTTTTTTGCCTTTTGTTATTTTTTTTTTTGCCTTTTGTTTTTTTTTTTTTTTTTGCTTTTTTTTTTGCCTTTTGTTATTTTTTTTTTGCCTTTTGTTATTTTTTTGTTTGTGTGATCAGCTGCTCTTTCCAGTAATCTGTTCTCAGTGCAGTGGTAATCAATATTGTTACTGCTGTCCGCTCCCTTTGAAACTAATTGATCCTTCAGGTGTTAATATATGCAAATGAGGTGTAGCACTGATGTAGTTATTAATGACAAAATATCCTTCCGCGTCTGTTACATCCTCAGCTGTTCTAATAGGTCTAAATTTTCTGGTTTAGCAAGACAAACTTGTTTTGAAGTTGTGAGATCATACTTGAAGGAGTGAGTTGGTTTCCCTTTCCTTGCCGTGGGCAAGGCAGTGAGCTATCTCACGATGAATTTAACATGACGCTGCAAGGATTTGAGTAGGTAACGATCGGTGCTTTTGTACGTTTGTTTCTTTTCAGAAGTGTGTTGCTCTGTTTTTCAGAGCATTGTGGTAATAATGACCTCTGATTAATTTGACAGTAGTGATGGGCTGCATTTATATACTTGTGGATTAAGTAGAAACCTAAGCTAATAACTCCACGCTTTATACCAAAGCTTATATTTTAATGAATGTGTTTTCTCAGCTTAGATGTACCTTTTCATTTCATTTTTTTTTCAGCCTGGTGATAGTCAGCTATTTGTGCTTGCGAAGAAGAGTGCCATTCTTAAATGTACCTAACTAGTTAGTGATTGGTCATAACTGAAATAATTTCAAACTGTACACAAGAGGCCTGAATTTAGATTGCCAGTCTTGCGTATATTTGGTTTAGGACAAACCAAATCATAACTTAGCCATAGGTGGGCCTACAGAGCTAGGATTTGTTTAAAATTTTGCCTGCATTTTTGAAAATCCAAGAGCCTCTGCTTTCTTTATTCTTCCCTGGAGAAACTGCTGTTGTGAAGAACCTGGAATGTAACTTCATAGTGGAATCTAAAAACATGAACAAAAGATCCCACAACTCAAGAACTGACCTGTCCTTGTCCCTCCCTGTCCTCCTCGCTCGGGCTGTTGGCTTCGAGGTCGGACTCACCGATGAGCTCACATTTCAGGTTCTCCAGAGCCCTGTAGGAGCAAGGTGTAAATCAGTCTCGGATTTCCAGCATGCTTTGGTTGTGGCAAGTTAAACCTTCACTTCTCTTAAAAGAGCAGTGGTAATTTTTTTCTTTTGTTTTATGTTTATGAAACATTTCATAGCAAACATACAAAATAATTTTTCCATACAGCAAAAAGGCTGATAGCAAGATGTCCATGTTAGATTCTTTATAGATGTTGAAATACTAAGTAATGTTACTAAAATATAAACACACAAAGTAGGACTGTATCATGACACCTAATGCTAGCTTACTTACATTAACTTGAACATATATTAGTTGTTTTAGAGTGTTTAAGATAAAAATATTTCCATGTAGGTTTTCCCCTAAAAACATTTTATTAGTGATTGATATTAGACAGATGGATTGTTGGTTTGAAAGAAAAAACATGCTTTATCTGTACATTCATAGATAGAAATGACAAATAGTCTCCTGCTTGACGTGTTAGTACAATTAGCTGAGTGAGACATAGATGCTAGTCATTATCCCTGTAAAATTGGAGTTACAGTATCAAGGTTAATACCAATCTGTGTGGTTAGAGAAGCTGCAGAACAAGTTGATATCCTTTTTTCCTTTGCCGTTCAGATCAAAACTTTTCATTTTTTTCAGGTGCTTAAAACCTTTTAATTTCTGTCAAAATTGTTACTAGTCACAAAATCATTAAATTCATCTAAAGCTTTTTATTTTTGTGTTTCTGGCACCTCCATTTGTTTTTAAATGCTTTCAGATCTGCAACAAAGTATGGGTGTTTTTGTTGAATGCCCTCGGAGTGACAGATTGCTAAAAATACCTCTGAGCTAGCTCACGTTTCAAGAGCAGCATGACTGAGGGAGTGTAGCGAGCCGATTCGGCTGCAGTGTTGTGCTGCTTGCTGGACTGGTTGAAATGGGCAGCTCCCTGAGCTGGCACGGCTCGACCTCTCCATGGGTGCAGCATGAATCTCTACGAAGAACTGTGTAGGTACTCTGGAGGAGAATGGTGGGAGGCGAGAAGGCTGCTTAAAGAATAGCGTATATGCTAGTGCCTCCAGGTCTAGTGCTTTTTACAGTTTAATTAAAATGGTTTTATATACCATGTTAACACCTAAATTGTTGACTCATCCGTTTTTTATCATCTCACAGATAGTGCTTTATGTCAGTTGGGGTATTTTCCTTTTATGTTAGCGTGTTTGGAAAAATCCAAAACTTTAAAAGCAAGGGAGCTTTGGTGACATACAGTGCATGTGGTGGTGTACTCGCTAACGCATGCAGAGACGAACAAGATTGACACACCCCCCCCTACTTTCAGTTAAGAGTCTTAAATATCAGAAACACGTGGGTGTGCAGTATTTTTTTGACAGAAAAAAGTGTGAAACTGTCATACTTGAGATATGTTGCAGAGTATTGTCTTTTACAGACAACCTTCTCCAGATGCACATGGTTCTAGTCAGTTGACACTACCGAGTATGCCACTTGGATGAGTGACTAGATTTGCCGTTACAGTTGTATTTCCATGCAGTTGGCAAGTTTGGAGAATAAAACTAACTTTGAGTTTTCTTTGAGAGAACCATTTGCAATGCTTTCTGCCTTTTTAAAGAGGTGCTGTATACGTCATTGTCTTATTCTTAATTTAAATTCAGCAAGAGAAGGAAGAGCAGCATCAGCTGGCGGTCACTGCCTTCTTAAAAAATTCAAGGAAGGAGCATCAGCGTATTCTTGCACGTCGTCAAACGATAGAGGAAAGAAAAGAGCGCCTTGAAAGCTTAAACATTCAGCGTGAAAAAGAAGAACTGGAACAACGTGAAGCAGAGTTACAAAAGGTCCGGAAAGCTGAAGAAGAGAGACTGCGCCAGGAGGCAAAGGAAAGGGAGAAGGAGCGTATCCTGCAGGAGCATGAGCAGATCAAAAAGAAGACTGTGCGTGAGCGCTTGGAGCAGATTAAGAAGACTGAACTGGGAGCCAAAGCGTTTAAAGATATTGATATTGAGGTAGATAACTTACTAATGAAGTTTTGAGGGTTTTTTCTTTACTCTTTTGGTGTTGCATTGCTAGGCTGCCTGAATTTTGAGGTTTTTTCCTAGGTGGGTTCCCCTCCCCCTGCCCCCTTGTTGCTTAAACCGTATCTGAAATACAAGGTAGACTTGCAGATCCAATTTTGTAATATCTGGACTGTGTCTCAATTAAAAATCAAGACACAAATGCTTTAGGAAAATACAAGTTACCCAGAAGAGAGGAAAACAAACTGAGAATGTTTCTGAAGTAAATTAGTTTAAAAATTAAGGGGAAAACTGCACAGAAGCTTAAACAAATAAATAAACAAACCACATTTGTAGCAGAAAAAATGTTTGCTTTATTTTGTATTGATAACTTCACCTGGTTGTAGGATCTCGAAGAATTGGATCCTGACTTCATTATGGCTAAACAAGTTGAACAGCTTGAGAAAGAAAAGAAGGAACTTCAGGAACGTCTGAAGAATCAGGAGAAAAAGGTACGAAGCAGGAAAGGTACAAAACCATGTCTGTACAATGCTTTAGTTAGTGATTGCAAACTCCTGTATTGATACGTATATATATATATATGCACACACGTACACACAAATATAATATTGCTGTTGAAAATGTTATTGTTTGAAACTAACAAAAGGTGAATGGGTTAAAATCCAACTGAGTTTCTAGTATCAGTGCACAAATCTGTTGTAATTAATGGAGTTGATTTGAAAATGGACCCTTAAGCTGTATGTGCACTGAGTCTTAGTTGGGAAGACTTGTAATTGGAAAATGTTCGGAGAAGATTAAATGCTCACAGAAGGTGAGGCCAGAGAAGCTAAATGAATTGTATTAGTCCTCACTGAAACAGAGGAAATTCCACTGCTAGAGACCTTCTAGATGGCAGAAGAGGATTTGCCTGAAACTTTGGGTGGCTATAAAAGTGAGGAACGTCTTGTCATAGAAATACGTAACCAGAGCAAGGTGAAACTCACCCAGGACTTCAGCTGCGTTCAAGAATGAAACAGGGGTTATAAGGTACAGTTGGTAATTCAGGTCACTTAAAACTGGCTTGATAGTAGTTTAAAAAGGTTCCAGTGAGGATCTTTGATGCTGCAGGCCTGTAAGCCTGGTGCTTGTATTGGGCAAAGTAGCAGAAAATGTGTTAAACAGTAGAATTAGTAGTCACCTGGGTAAATGTGATCTACCTGGGTCAGCACAGCTTCTGTAAAAGAATTGTAAGCCAGGGCTTCCTCTTGGAGCTCTCTGAAGCTGTCAAAACAAACATGTGAGTAAGGGTGATCTGATTGGTGTGACTAAGTTGGATTTTCCAAAAAGCTTTTTACAAAGTTCTTCACCAAAGAAAACCCTAGCCGGTGTGGTTATGATAAAAGGAAGAGTCTTTGAATGATGATTGGTTTAGATAATTTTTAAAGTGGGAAAAAAATCCCCCAGTCTTTAGCTTTATGTATTAAATGATGGGCTCCAACATTCTTAATCAACAATGAGAACTTGGTTCTTCTGCATCTTGAGCACTGCCTGCTGTTCTGGGCTTTTTATCTCAAAAAGGATATGGTTGAACTGGGAGTTTGAGAGGCGGCCAACAAAGAATATGAGTGATGTGGATTTGCTGCTGCGTGAGCAATGTCGATGTAAAATAGTACCCCTGTGTCTGAAAGATTTCTAGAGAGAGGACGTGGCAGCACGTGGTAACAGCTGACAGTGGGGAGCAGTTGCTCTTGCACTGACTGCAGGGACAGTGAACTAGGAAGCATCAAATGAAGCTGGTAGGAGCCATCCTCAGAACTAGTTGTAGGTAGAAGGTGTGTCTTCATGCTGTGAGCCATAGGCGCACAGGATTTCTTTCCAAAGGACATTTTGTATATGAAAAGCTCCTTGGGGCTCAGAAAGACAAGAGGAGAAATCCGCCTGCTGGAATGCCTGCTGAGTACAAAAAAGCTTGGATGCAGGAAACGCCAGGAGTTGAAAACGAATGATGCTGAGGGAGTGTTGCGTGTATGCCTGCCTCTCTGCTTGCATCCCTGCCTAGGAGTGCTCCTAGTTGTGAGTGGTGGAGGCAGGTTCTTGGTTAAGGTGGACCTCTGATGCGGTCCAGTGTGGTTGTTCCTATGTATAATACATCAGGTATGTTGGAGAAGTCTCTGGATATCGGGGTTTTCTTTGGGGGGTGATGAAGATCGAGTCTTCCAGGTTTGGTCTTTACATTATGACATGCTAAAGGGATGTTGTCTTCGTTTAGATCGACTATTTTGAAAGAGCGAAGCGCTTAGAAGAAATTCCTTTAATAAAGACCGCATATGAGGAGCAAAGAGTGCATGATATGGAGCTGTGGGAGCAACAGGAGGAGGAAAGGGTAAGAATTTTTGGTTCAGATGGTAAAATCCATTAGCGATGAATGAAAAATAGTGGATTTTGCACTATCTGGTTTTTTTCCCCCAGCTCCAGTCCAAGGGAAGAAGGGAAAAATTGATATGAAGAATGAAGTGCTAGCTTTGTGATTTCATTGTGCTAATGGACAGGAGTTCTTCTGTCTAGGATCTGAAAGAGGAAAAGATAATTTCTCTTTCTAGTGGCTGAGACAGATTGAATGCAAATATATAGTTAAGATTGTACTTTCTAATACTTATGTATTTTCTGGTTTTAGATCACCACTTTGCAGTTGGAGCGTGAGAAAGCCCTTGAGCATAAGAACAGACTCTCAAGGATGTTGGAGGATAGAGATTTATTTGAAGCCAGGCTCAAAGCATCACGACGAACAGTTTACGAGGTACCCGAGATACGGTATTGTAATAAAATGTTCCCCTAAAGTGAGGAACTGAACTTGTGACCGAGGGATTCTTCATGAAACAAATTAGTATCTGGAACGGCTCAGAATTATGGAATTGTTTATTTTCTGTTTTAAAAATTCTTGCGCCCATTCCTAGGTTTTATCACTTACAAATTTTTAAAACTTCTGGAATAGCTCATATGGAAAACAAAAGATAGGGAAATTACTTATTTCAATACATCTCTTAGTAGGAGATCATTGGGCAGCATAGGTGCAGCCAGCTGTATCTGTGCAACTACTTGGACTTAGTGTGGTGATGGAGTAATATTGACAATAATACTGAAGCCAAAAAAGAGATAGAAATACTTGTCTTTTGGTTTTTTAATCTCTTTGTTTGAATCTGGAAATGATTTTGACAGTTCAAGTATTCGGTACTTCAAGTTACATTTTACGTTTGCAAAATTTAGTAACAGATTAGACCACGAGGGCAGGGAAAGGACCGTGCCTTTTGTTTCTTGCTCTGCATTTTTGAAATTCTACATTTGCTGAGGCTGTTTATAGCCTTGATTTTTTTTTTTTTTTTTCTTTTTTCTTTCTCTGTGTTGCAGTAAGAACTAGTTTAAAAAAAGAAAGCGAAAGAGGTATTGTGTTGAAATAATTCAAGTAACTGCATATGATTCTTTGGAACAATACAGGTAGTTTTAGTAATGTGTTTTAGGTACAGGTAAATTATTATTTGGGTAATTCCTTTCCTGAAAAAGCAGATGAAGGGCTAAAATTGTGCATGGTAATTGTCTTCTAAGTTGGAGTATGTTCCCTTACGTGAAATCAATTGCAGAAAAGGTTGAAATGGTGAACAGGTGGTTGCTTTTCAGTGGAGCGAAGTTTATTGACTTCGTTGCGGTTCGTTTGTGTGTCTGTGCAGCTTTATTCAGCAATTTGTTTGGCTATTAAGCATTTACAGTTCTGGTGTTTTCATGTGTGTCCTTTGTGTTTCAGGATAAACTCAAGCAGTTCCAGGAACGGTTAGCAGAAGAGAGGCGTAATCGTTTGGAGGAACGCAAGAAACAGCGCAAGGAAGAGAGACGCATCACTTACTACAGAGAAAAGGAGGAAGAGGAACAAAGATTGCGAGAAGAACAGCTGCTTAAAGGTATAATCGAGAACCTGATTGTTTTATCCTCAGCATCCTTGATCCGTCCCAGATGTGTACACAGCCAACTTCTGGTTTCCCTTTTCCACGACTTCGGAGGAAGTCTTTTCACTTTCAGTCAGTGGTGAAGACTGTTCATTGCTATTAGATACTGTGCCTCACATTTTACCTAGTGCACCCTCTGAGTGCTTACCCGTGCAGCATGGAGACGAAGCTTTATAGGAGGAAGGGAAAACGAAAGCAAATGAAATGCTTCCTGCCTTCCCCTGCTCCCAGGCGTGAATAAAGGCGGAGATAAAGGAACGGAGGCTCATGGAATATCGAGTCTTTGATTTTAGTCGTTTAGTTTGAGTGCTGGCCGCTTGTTTTTGTGTCTCTTCTGTTAAAGAGAATAGAAAGGGAACATTGGTGTCAGATCAAGAACTCGGGAGTTGTAGGTGACTGACACACCTTTCTGTGTGAATTGCTTTGTCTGGTAGCCCATTCCAAGGCTTTAGAAGAGAAGAGATGGTGGGCGTCCTGTAAGGTCAATTTCTGTCCTCCTTGTCGCTTGGTGGATGAAGATTTTACATATCAGTTCATAGTCATGCAGTATTTAAAAACCAACCAAGCAAAACCCAAGCAGTCCTGAATATCACTTTTCTGACGCTGCCAGCTAATGCTTTTGCTTGATCTTTTGCAAGAAAAGTATCCTCTGCCGTGTTTGAGGTCATCACCGGTGTTTTAGCTGGCACATTTGTGGTCTGTACATTGAATTCATCTGTGGGTGTTGGAACGTTTTCTTTCCTTTCTTGCTCACTGTTGTTAAAGATGTCACATTAATGGCTGTATCAGGGTGCCTTTTCCTGTTGCTTTCAAGTCAGGATACTTCCAGAAAATGGGCTCTATGGTTGGTTAAAGGCATCCTGTGAAAGGCTTGGAGTTTTTTTTAATAAGGAGTCAAAGAGGAGAGATTGTATTTTGTAACCCTCGTTTTGTAACCCTTCCGTGGATACAGAAAGTAACAGAATTTATATTGGTAATGCGTTGTATTTATGTTTCCAACTCTGCAGAGCGTGAGGAAAAGGAACGCATTGAGCGTGAGAAACGCGAGCAGGAGCAGCGTGAGTACCAGGAACGTGTCAAAAAACTAGAAGAACTGGAGAAGAAAAAACGTCAAAGAGAAATGGAGATAGAAGAAATGCGTCGTCGAGAAGAAGAAAGGAGGGGTCTGGATGACCCATTTTCAAGAAAGGTAGGTAATACCTGCAGGTTTGTTTTCTTTTTGACAGCTCCTCCTTCTGTAGGTGATTTGGAAGAAGATGGTAGCATTGCCAAATCATAGGTTAGATTTTTTTTTTTTTCAGTTGTAGCATAAGGGGCTAGTTTATTGTTGCTTAGTTTCAGCTTGCTATCAGGATCTGAAATCAGTAGTTTAGTAATAAAGTAAAACAAAGAAACTACTGAGATCTCCAAGCTGTTTAAAAACTAGAGGAATAAAGACTAAAAAGAATATTGGATAAAATTCTCTTTAACACAAAAGAAGGAAAGCTATATTGGAAGCAAGTGTAGTGACCCATGCAAAAGTCAGGAGTTAAAGTAGATGTTGAAGGAAAATCCCAGGCTAAACGTAAAAGCATAGTTTTTTAGTTTATAAGATATGCAGTAACATAAAACATAAAAGCAAGAGATGTGTGCAACTTCCTGTTTACAAATACAAGTATTGGGGAAGATCATTATCCCAATCCAACAGGAAATAAAGCAATAACACAAGTGAATGTTTAATAGTTTGAAAGAATGTGAGTACCATAGACCTTCCACGCTCCCAACTTTTTCAGAGTTTATCAATAAGAGAACTACTTCTGAATTTCATCGGTCGTTGGCTTTGTTTAGTGCCTACTTCACTGAGTAATGCTACGAAGATAAGTGATCAGAGCTTGTATAAATTGTTTTGATAGTCTGTTAGGTAAATAATCATCACTGGTATTTTTCACATAAGAGGTGCTCCTAGCCGTGGGCACTTGATTATTTGGAAAAGCTGACTCGGGCTCTGAGAGCGAGCGAGCTGTACCACTTGAAAAATACCATTTGCAGTCTTGGGATTCCTTTGTGGCTCACCCTTGGCGGGGTCATTTCAAAAGCATTGAAGTAGGCAGTCACGGAGGAGTGGCTGTGCAGGGGCTTGTGCACCCTGTGTATTACCCCATATCGAAGGGCAGACTTTGACACATAAAGACACTTTTCAAAGAAGAGTTTAAAACCGGAATACTCTTTTGTGAAGAGGTTGTGTGATTATGTGAAATCAGGCATTTTATATTATTTACCTAATTTGCTTCTTGTGGTGGACTTAAGGAATAAACAGCTGTGTTAGAAATAGTTTACATGGTTTGGTTTTGTCCAGCCGTGGCGGGAGATGTTTTACTTTTATTAAAAAAAAAAAAAGTACTGATTTTTGCTCTGCTGTGCATCTAAGCAGCCTGTGTGAATCACAAATACCTCACCTATTCTGTGCGTTGAGGTACTCAGGAGAAAATGGTCTCTGCTACATAAAGCTTTCAGTTTCTTCAGTTACATTTTCTGATCTGATTAGAAAGCACAAGAGCAAATAATTCTTTGAATTCATTCCTACTGTCATTAAGCAGCAGGGAAGTCAGAAACCTTTTTTTTTGTGTCAACAGGCGGTAGCTACAGCTTACTCGTTTGTAAACTTCTTAGTGTACGTGCATATATCTTGCCCTACTAGTGAACTATGTGGCACAAAGGGAACCATACTGTTTTTAATCTGTGCCAGAAACAATAAAGTTTAGTCAGTTAAGACCATACTTCAGTTATTCAAATGCCTGATAGTTCAGTATTCTCTGCAGTGTACAAGAGGTTTTTAATGACGTAGTATGCTCTGAAAGGAGTAAATTATGTGTTGAAAAATCTTCGGTTTAAAGTATTTAGAGAGAATGTTCCTAATTTCTTTTGATGTACAGGAATCTCGTTGGGGTGACAGGGAGTCTGAAAGCTCCTGGAGAAGAGGTGGTGAGACAGAATCTGAATGGCGACGAGCACCAGTGGAAAGGTAATCGTTGGGTTACTGAGCACCAGTTGTACGGGGCTCAAAATATGTAGGCTCCCTTTTTGTTGGTGCTGCTGAAACTGCACTAACTGAATAATATCTCATGCCTGTACATCTCTGAAAGCTACCTTCTGTTAAAAAATTGCTTTGTAAGGATCTCGGAATGAGAGAGGTTTTATCTCGGAACTGCATTCAGATAACATTCCTGTTTTATTTAGCTTAGATAGGTGAAAGCTAGCAGACACCTTCTGCATGTGATAAATGACTTGCTTACTTGGATTCTTTTCTAAATTAAGAATTTCTGTCCCACACACACATTGGTGTCAGTTGTATAAATACAGAATGGGGAAGGATGACGAGCCAGTGCAGAGTTCCTGGACGATGAAACTGTTAGATTTTCCATTTAGAAAACTGACAGTAATATATAAGAATAGTAAAGTCAAAATTCAGAGTCTTAAACTATTCAAATCCCAGAGTGACTCACAGAGCAGAAAATTTGTGCCATAAACTAAACCAAAGTTCTGATAGACTGTGTTGGCCAGAGAAGGAAGGGTTTGTGAAGGAAGAATATTCTGAAGGGACTTCACACTTTAAAAAAAGCAAAACACACTTGTTCACATCTGTGTATTTTAAGGGGTTTGGATATGGTTCACTGATAATGAAGACTGTTGCAGAAAGTAAGATCTCTAACGTTTGTCCATCCCTCTGCTCCGTACAGGATGAGCTGTACCTAAAATATTTCCGATGGTACACATCTAGTTGTTCTTAAACGCCTGTGCTGATGGAGGTACTGTTCCAGTTGGCAGTGTGTTTTATTGCTTAATGACCCTCCCAGGTAGATAGATTTTTATAAATGTCTAACCCTAATTTCCAGCACAGCAATTTAAATCCATTACAGCTTACTCTGACGCCAGCGGAAGCAAATTAATTTGCTCATTCTCTCTCTAGTAATTTCTTCCCACGTATTGGAACAGTATGATCTCTCGATTAAACAAGACTTTCCTTAAAAGCTGTGTGGCCGTTCATGGTAGTGATCTGCGTTCTCGTGAATTGCAAAATCAAAAATTGGATGAAACTCCTGGGTGAAGCCTTTAACTATTAACACATTGCAGGAAAGTTTGGTGCAGCTATTTATAGGCTTCAAGGTGAAAATTTTTTTCACGCAGTGGTACAGGTGAGCCGTATTCATTTTTCAGTCATTATAGCATAGAGTTTTTCTGAATAAGCGTTATCTTAGTCAATTCTCGTTTAACTTTTGTAGAGGTTGGACCAAGCAACTGCTGAAGAGTTAAAATTAGGCATATTTTGGATTAATATGTAGCGTGTTTGACTTTTCCCTTTCCTTCTCTCTTTTACTAAAGGATATACTGAGGAATACGAAAAGGAAATACTGGTAACAGGCAAAATTAGTATCTCTATGGAATTTTAAGTAAATCAACGCTTCTCAATTATTTTCTTTTTGCTGAACTTAAGAAATAACAAAGTAAAAGTGTGTAATTCTTTAGTAGCCCCTAGTCTGCCTTCAGTTGGAAAAATCCCTGAAGGGAAAACGTGCTGGATACAAAGACAGCAGGGCAAACCTAACAGTGAGTGAAGGAATTCCAAAGTGTATTTCTGCATGGAGTGATAAAGGCAGTAACATAGAGGACGGAGCATCAGATTTAATTGGCGGCGTGTGTCTAGCTGTAAGTACAGCTGTTGGATATATGCCTGAAAAAGTCCTTACGGATGCTGGTACAAGGAGAGAAGCTGTGAAATTTGTGTCTCAGCCAATTTCTTATGGAAATGACCCAGTCCTGGCGTGCATGCCGTGTTGGTACACGGGTCCGTACAGTCGCAGAGCAACCAACTGTACTGTGCTGCCGTCCCCAGAGTGCTGGGTTCGAGGTGATCAGCGTGTTCCAGTGTTGGCAGTCCTCCATACCATGGTTCCAAGGAAAAAAACGGATTCCAGAAAGGCAGAAGAGTCCAGCGAGGGCCGTCTGTCTCTTGGACAGCTAGTGGCTTTATTGTGGGTTACAGCTAGACTATGAGTATTTGCTTTGTTCCTTCACTGTGCAAGAAGGGTAGTTATAAGAAACAAAAGAGGAGAATAAAACTAATGATGTAATAAAATTTTATGAGGAAGAGAAGAAAGTCAATCCTGATACAAAAAAAAAAAAATTACAAATATTGTGATTGCAGGAAAAAGAGGTTGACATAGAATTGCTATGTAGGAGTTAAATTAAAAGCCAGCTGATTTAGTAAAAAAAGTCATTTTTTGTTGGTACCTCGTGTTCTTTCTCTATATCACAGAAAATCCATAAAGTGCTGTCAGGAACTGGACACTGGCTCGTTGAAACGATGAAGTGACAACTAATATAGGCCTGGTATTCACTAAGAGTGGTGGGGCAGTGCTGCGGGCTGTCACACTTAGCACAGCTCATTAGAGATCAACAAACCCTTAGGTGCTTATGGTCAAGAGATACTAAAAGGCCAAGATGTATAGAAAGGGGAGTTGACCTCTGTTGTAAGTCTGTGCTGTTTGTGCCCGAGTTAAGACAAGCAAGAAAAGGTTATAAACCTGTAACAGTGGTAAACACTGTAGTGTGAACTTTGCCAGCAAGTTTCTGCTTTAATTGGTAAAGCTGTCTGCGTGCCTTCAGCTCTTGTAGAGCAGTGTGCGGGGTTTTTAGAGGTTATTGAAAAAAGAGTTGTGTAATAGAAACTGGATTGCATGACTACCAGTGGCTGTCATTCAATAATATTCTTAATATTCATGCATCCCTCTGTTCTTACTAATTTATCAGATGCTGTTTGACTTTTAATTTCAGTAAACTGTTAAAGTGGGAGTTAGGACGTCCTTTCTAAGAGGGAAAGAAGGACGAAAGCTAAAATGCGAACACTAAGGTTGTCAAATGAGAAAAAAAAGGGAAAACCAACAGAAGCATAATTTCACCTGCAAGTAATAGTTTAAAAATTAGAGTAGTAGTAGTTTAAAAGCAATAGTTTAAGATAGATTTAAAAATCCTAAACCTCTGAAACAGTACGTAAGTATGAATTAATTAAATACTTGTTCACTTGACGAACTCTACTAACATTTCCCTGCATGTCTTTTACATCAAAATAATTGGATTTTTCAAAGGAGAAGATTATCCAATTTGAGTCTAAATGGAAGTTAACAATCTCTGTTTTTGTCTTGTTTTTGTCTTGGTGGTAATTACGTTCTCCCTTATTCCTCTAAAAACTAGGAAGTTCATTGCCCGCAATTCCTGGAAATTCTTGAGATGCAGAGTTGTCACAAACTGTTGCCTCTTTGTTCTCACCTCCTGGAGTCCTACATCTGTTGTTTTGTAGCAAGTCTTTGCTGTTCTTTTGTTTACATTTTAGTAGCATAGTGGATCTCTAAATCTGTGGGTTTTTTGTTTTGTTCTGGTTTTGATTTTATTTTTTTTTGAATCTTTGAGATTCAACCCCAGTGCAGCTTCTCTTCTCTTGCCAAGAAGCAGATACTGATACGTCTCTATGATGTACTATTCCTTGTTTCTTTTTACTGCTGAGGCACTAGCTTAGGAAGGTTAATTTCCTGAAATAAAGAAATTACTCCAGTGACAAAGCCAAGGTTTATGGTCTAAACGTATGTGTAAAATCCTGTGGACATTCAGCTAAATGGTGTGTCTGGAGAAGTGACGAGTGGAAGGCTCTAACCATTGTTCAGCAGCGTCTGATCTTTTTGGTGTTACAAATCCAACCGTATTTCAAAGATGAACTGATGACTCAATAGCCCAGGGAAGATTCTCACCCATCCTTTACTTCCCATGTACATCCTAGTAAGGAGAGCCCGTGCAAGCACTGACAGCCTGCCAAAGCCTGGAGCAGCCTGCTTGCTGTCGGGCAGGAGCAGCGGATTGAGTCATGAGTTTACTACGTTGTCCTGCTGTATCTAGTTGTGGGTGCTCGTCAGTGAAAGTATGGCCAAATCTGTTGGGCTGGACCTGTGCCAAAGCATAGGAGAACAGGGGTTGGGCTGTACGGTCGGCATGTGTGTGAAGAAGGGGGATACTTACTTGATGGTTGTGGGGGTTTTTTTAGTACTGGTTCTTTGAGACTCAGCTGGAGTTTGTCAAGTTAGGCTTGGTGTAGAAGCCAAACCTCTTCTGGGTTGTGTTGCAGCAGGTAACCAGCAGGGGCCTGTAGTTAGCCCCTTCAAACTGTAGTTGTGCAGGAGATAGTAAACTGTTCAGTCTTTACTGAAGCTGTTGTAGGGATGGTGACCTGCCCCTTTCCCATAGCGATGAAGGCAATTAGGAAGTGCATTTGAAAATGGCAAACCTTGTAAATATGCTTACAGCCACACATCAAGTGGATACGTTTAGAAATGGCCTTGAGGGGCTTGATACTGTCGATCTAGTACATAAAGCTCTTCTGGATGTCAGCTTCTGCTTTCCCTGTGGTTTTACAGAGATTGGCGTCGAGGAGAACCGAGAGATGATGAAAGACCTTTCAGACGAGGGGATGATCTGCCGCGACGAGGAGATGATCTGCCGCGACGTGGGGAGGATCTGCCCCGGCGTGGTCCTGCAGAAGAAAAGGAACGACCTTCTGTGGAATCAGCGGAGGAGAGGCCGCCCAGGCGTGAAGGGGAGGAGGAGAGGCCGCCCAGGCGTGAAGGGGAGGAGGACAGGCCGCCCAGGCGTGGGTTGGATGAGGACAGGCCGCCCAGGCGTGGTCTGGATGATGATAGAGGGAGCTGGCGGGCTGCAGACGACGACAGGGGGCCCAGGCGAGCG